TTCTGTGAGGTCGTGGTACTAACCCGGCTCGAGCCGGCCCATACGTGCAACAGCAAAAGCTGCTGCAAGGCTCTACCACCGTTAAAATTGGCCAAATAACATTTTAATTGTAATTGTAAATAATAATGAACTGCTAAACCTAAGAGGCAATCAGTACGACAACATAATTTAAAAACGGCGTGTTTAAAAGAAGTGAATCAAGATTACAATAATTTTAAGAATCAAATATTTAACTTACTGAAAGCCTAAACTCTCATGCAGCGTTGTATTTTAATTCCGTAGCGCAGTGGCTTAGCAATTGAGTTGCAGCGCTAAGGACCTCGGGTTCGAATCCCGCATGGAACAATATTTGTATGGCCTACAGAATAGAATAATTTTTTATTCAATATACATTACATGTGTAATTCTTATTGAAAGTCATTTTTTACTTTACCACTGGTTCGAAAAAAAGCCCCTCTGTCCTGGGAAGAACCAGCAAGAAACCCCGCGGGACTTTTTTTTTAAAATAAATTTTACAATATAAAAGATTACGAACTATTTACAAAATTTATTTTAGAAACTGCTTGGAAGCGACCACCTCATTCCCAGGGGTTATTATCAACCATGAATTCATTTATACTATAATAACCCTTTTTATACAGTTTCAGTTTAATAAAACATTTAAACTTGGTAATTGAGAGAACCTGTACACTTTCCGGGACCTTGTTGTAATAACGTATACATTGCCCCAAGAATGAATTACTGACTCTGTGGAGTCGAGAAACTGGTATCACTAGCTTGTGTTTGTTCCTAGTGTTTACTGAATGTATATCACTTTTTTTACTAAAACTATCTTTGTTTTTGTGAACATACATTAAATGTTCGTAAATATACTGAGAGGCCAAAGTTAATATATTTATTTCTTTAAATTTATCTCTAAGAGACTCTCTCGGTTTTAGATTGTAAATAGCTCTAATGGCCCTCTTTTGTAAAAATAGTTTCTGAATCAGCCGCATTTCCCCATAGCAAAATCCCATAAGACATTATGTATTATTATTAAATATATAATACATAATGTCTTATGGGATTTTGCTACAAAATGTATTATTATTAAATAACTAAAATAAACTAATCTAGCTGTCTCGACACTAGTGAGATCTCTAATCTTTTTTACAGCATAGGCTGCTGAACTTAGTCTGCTTGCTAATTAAAATATATGGGGGCCCACTGAAGCTTTGCGTCGAAAGTGGTGCCAAGAAAAACAGTGGATACAACAGGGCTCAATTCCTCCCCATTTAAAAACACATTGGTATTAAGATTTTTAACATTCGTTGTTATAAATTTAACACAATTAGTTTTATTTCCGTTCAAATGCAGATTATTAACGTTAAGCCAATGCACTAATTTTGATATAGCATTATTCACTTCGTCACATTTAAGTGATTGATGTTTAAGTTTAAAAATCAAGGAAGTATCATCAGCAAATAATACTATATCATGACTATCTCCTACAAGGTGAGGTAAGTCATTAATATACACCAGAAACAGGAATGGGCCGAGAATCGAGCCCTGAGGAACACCCATTAGTACAGGTGACCCGGAAGAACTTTTACCATTGATAATAACCTTCTGCTTTCTATTACTTAAATATTAAATAATAAGTTTACAGTTTACAAATAATTGTTCCGGGTCTGGATGTTTGTCCTTGTGCAATTTATGTTTGTACACTGCCCCCACAATGCAAGATAAAATCCTAGTGTGGAGGTTACGTTTTAAAACAGAAAGAAGATAATTTAGAAAGCAATTCAGTGTTATTTTTCACTATTCTAAAATCGTTCTCTCATAGAATTACTATTTTTAGGTCCTCGGCACTTGACTCACTTGTGACGTGCGCGTGCACACAGTGGGAGCGGGCGGTGCTCACCTCGAAGAACTGCGCGAGCTTGTCGAGCGGGCGGCCGAAGTACTGCGTGACGTAGGCGCGCAGCGCGTCGGCGTAGCGCGCGCGGCACTCGCGGCGCAGCGCGTCCAGCGCGTGACGTGCGCGTGACGTGCGCGTGCACACAGTGGGAGCGGGCGGTGCTCACCTCGAAGAACTGCGCGAGCTTGTCGAGCGGGCGGCCGAAGTACTGCGTGACGTAGGCGCGCAGCGCGTCGGCGTAGCGCGCGCGGCACTCGCGGCGCAGCGCGTCCAGCGCGTGACGTGCGCGTGACGTGCGCGTGCACACAGTGGGAGCGGGCGGTGCTCACCTCGAAGAACTGCGCGAGCTTGTCGAGCGGGCGGCCGAAGTACTGCGTGACGTAGGCGCGCAGCGCGTCGGCGTAGCGCGCGCGGCACTCGCGGCGCAGCGCGTCCAGCGCGTGACGTGCGCGTGACGTGCGCGTGCACACAGTGGGAGCGGGCGGTGCTCACCTCGAAGAACTGCGCGAGCTTGTCGAGCGGGCGGCCGAAGTACTGCGTGACGTAGGCGCGCAGCGCGTCGGCGTAGCGCGCGCGGCACTCGCGGCGCAGCGCGTCCAGCGCGTGACGTGCGCGTGACGTGCGCGTGCACACAGTGGGAGCGGGCGGTGCTCACCTCGAAGAACTGCGCGAGCTTGTCGAGCGGGCGGCCGAAGTACTGCGTGACGTAGGCGCGCAGCGCGTCGGCGTAGCGCGCGCGGCACTCGCGGCGCAGCGCGTCCAGCGCGTGACGTGCGCGTGACGTGCGCGTGCACACAGTGGGAGCGGGCGGTGCTCACCTCGAAGAACTGCGCGAGCTTGTCGAGCGGGCGGCCGAAGTACTGCGTGACGTAGGCGCGCAGCGCGTCGGCGTAGCGCGCGCGGCACTCGCGGCGCAGCGCGTCCAGCGCGTGACGTGCGCGTGACGTGCGCGTGCACACAGTGGGAGCGGGCGGTGCTCACCTCGAAGAACTGCGCGAGCTTGTCGAGCGGGCGGCCGAAGTACTGCGTGACGTAGGCGCGCAGCGCGTCGGCGTAGCGCGCGCGGCACTCGCGGCGCAGCGCGTCCAGCGCGTGACGTGCGCGTGACGTGCGCGTGCACACAGTGGGAGCGGGCGGTGCTCACCTCGAAGAACTGCGCGAGCTTGTCGAGCGGGCGGCCGAAGTACTGCGTGACGTAGGCGCGCAGCGCGTCGGCGTAGCGCGCGCGGCACTCGCGGCGCAGCGCGTCCAGCGCGTGACGTGCGCGTGACGTGCGCGTGCACACAGTGGGAGCGGGCGGTGCTCACCTCGAAGAACTGCGCGAGCTTGTCGAGCGGGCGGCCGAAGTACTGCGTGACGTAGGCGCGCAGCGCGTCGGCGTAGCGCGCGCGGCACTCGCGGCGCAGCGCGTCCAGCGCGTGACGTGCGCGTGACGTGCGCGTGCACACAGTGGGAGCGGGCGGTGCTCACCTCGAAGAACTGCGCGAGCTTGTCGAGCGGGCGGCCGAAGTACTGCGTGACGTAGGCGCGCAGCGCGTCGGCGTAGCGCGCGCGGCACTCGCGGCGCAGCGCGTCCAGCGCGTGACGTGCGCGTGACGTGCGCGTGCACACAGTGGGAGCGGGCGGTGCTCACCTCGAAGAACTGCGCGAGCTTGTCGAGCGGGCGGCCGAAGTACTGCGTGACGTAGGCGCGCAGCGCGTCGGCGTAGCGCGCGCGGCACTCGCGGCGCAGCGCGTCCAGCGCGTGACGTGCGCGTGACGTGCGCGTGCACACAGTGGGAGCGGGCGGTGCTCACCTCGAAGAACTGCGCGAGCTTGTCGAGCGGGCGGCCGAAGTACTGCGTGACGTAGGCGCGCAGCGCGTCGGCGTAGCGCGCGCGGCACTCGCGGCGCAGCGCGTCCAGCGCGTGACGTGCGCGTGACGTGCGCGTGCACACAGTGGGAGCGGGCGGTGCTCACCTCGAAGAACTGCGCGAGCTTGTCGAGCGGGCGGCCGAAGTACTGCGTGACGTAGGCGCGCAGCGCGTCGGCGTAGCGCGCGCGGCACTCGCGGCGCAGCGCGTCCAGCGCGTGACGTGCGCGTGACGTGCGCGTGCACACAGTGGGAGCGGGCGGTGCTCACCTCGAAGAACTGCGCGAGCTTGTCGAGCGGGCGGCCGAAGTACTGCGTGACGTAGGCGCGCAGCGCGTCGGCGTAGCGCGCGCGGCACTCGCGGCGCAGCGCGTCCAGCGCGTGACGTGCGCGTGACGTGCGCGTGCACACAGTGGGAGCGGGCGGTGCTCACCTCGAAGAACTGCGCGAGCTTGTCGAGCGGGCGGCCGAAGTACTGCGTGACGTAGGCGCGCAGCGCGTCGGCGTAGCGCGCGCGGCACTCGCGGCGCAGCGCGTCCAGCGCGTGACGTGCGCGTGACGTGCGCGTGCACACAGTGGGAGCGGGCGGTGCTCACCTCGAAGAACTGCGCGAGCTTGTCGAGCGGGCGGCCGAAGTACTGCGTGACGTAGGCGCGCAGCGCGTCGGCGTAGCGCGCGCGGCACTCGCGGCGCAGCGCGTCCAGCGCGTGACGTGCGCGTGACGTGCGCGTGCACACAGTGGGAGCGGGCGGTGCTCACCTCGAAGAACTGCGCGAGCTTGTCGAGCGGGCGGCCGAAGTACTGCGTGACGTAGGCGCGCAGCGCGTCGGCGTAGCGCGCGCGGCACTCGCGGCGCAGCGCGTCCAGCGCGTGACGTGCGCGTGACGTGCGCGTGCACACAGTGGGAGCGGGCGGTGCTCACCTCGAAGAACTGCGCGAGCTTGTCGAGCGGGCGGCCGAAGTACTGCGTGACGTAGGCGCGCAGCGCGTCGGCGTAGCGCGCGCGGCACTCGCGGCGCAGCGCGTCCAGCGCGTGACGTGCGCGTGACGTGCGCGTGCACACAGTGGGAGCGGGCGGTGCTCACCTCGAAGAACTGCGCGAGCTTGTCGAGCGGGCGGCCGAAGTACTGCGTGACGTAGGCGCGCAGCGCGTCGGCGTAGCGCGCGCGGCACTCGCGGCGCAGCGCGTCCAGCGCGTGACGTGCGCGTGACGTGCGCGTGCACACAGTGGGAGCGGGCGGTGCTCACCTCGAAGAACTGCGCGAGCTTGTCGAGCGGGCGGCCGAAGTACTGCGTGACGTAGGCGCGCAGCGCGTCGGCGTAGCGCGCGCGGCACTCGCGGCGCAGCGCGTCCAGCGCGGGCGCGCGCAGCGAGCTCACGGCGCCGTGCAGCCGGTGGTAGTTCTCTGCGGACACCACCAGCGCACTTAGCCCGCCGTCCGCCTCGGGGGGGACCAGCTTCAACACTGGCATTTTGAAAGCTACTAACTTTGCCGACCAATTAGTAGTAACGATCTGAGTACATGGTTGCCGTCGGTGGTAGTTCTCTGCACACACAACGGATGCGGCCGGCAAACCATCCGGCTCGGAGAGGATCATATGTGGCAGTGTGTTTTTAACAACCATTAGCTTTGGCGATTGATTACCCGTCACGATCTGAATAGTTGGATGCCACGTGACGGCTCTAGGGTTCAAAGGCGGTTAGTAGAATCCTAACAGGGTATAATGTAAGGCGCAAAATTAAATAAACAAAACACGGCAGAATGTTGTCACATCACTCAATATTTTAATGTTACAGTTACTTAACTACATAACAAATGCAGTGCATATAATACTAGGTATAATAAAGTCGCACAAATGGATACCACTGCCACTACACCGCCTTGAATCTATTAACAATGAAAAAATTCGGCGCGATGGTTTAGGCGAGCTTGTGTTCACGTTGGCCGTCAGGCATTTGCGCGAGTGTGTCGTGTTATCAGAGGTTGTGAACATAGACGACGAACTTTTACTTTTAATCGAAATTTCTTACCTAAAGTAGGAGATCACAAAAAGTAAAATCAGTATGTACGAATTTAATAAATTAAGAGAACTGACAGAGGGGAATAATTGTTACGGCCTACGGCTGCTCCCTTAAATGTCAAATTCTCAGGGGCCCATTCAGCTGAGTTTCGACGAGCAGACGTAGGTTGGGCCTCAATGTGGCCACGTGGAATTTCTTTAATTACACTAAACTATATGGGAGAGCGTTCGATACTACGGCCAGTCGACCGGGAGGATGTTAGACGGAGCTTACTTACCTATATCTGAGCCGACTGGTCCCTCCGGAGTCGGTCAGGTCGCATGTGGTTGTGTAGTGCAAGGGAAATAAGGTGATGTGATGTGTATCTGGGTGTGACTGAGGGTGATTGACCCGAGTAATACTTGGCCGTCGGCAGCAGCCCGGGCGTCGACACCGCTCCAAATTGAGGGAACCTTCGTCTTCGTCGAAGGCCTCGTGCCCGCCGTACCTCTCCTCAAAATGGATTCGAAGGTCGAGAGGTAGACGGGACATTACGATGCGGAGCAACAAAAAAGCCCCTTCGCCCACTGGTAAATCCAGCCGCCTCAACGTATTACAGGCCACCAAGACTGGATCCAACAGGTCCGGACGTAGTCTGGCCCGGTCACTAAGCAGCGGGAGGCTTATAAGCTGCTTAACATGTTCGTCCGCAATTCGCCGGACGTCCCCGGAGAACTTTGGCAGGTCCAGAGTTGGGCGTCGTCCCAACAGCTCCGGCTGAAGCTGCTTCCGAGAGGACTCGGGCAGGTCACTCATACGAGCTTCACGCGCCTCCTCGGCATACCTGCCTTCAGCCTCGATCAACTCGTCCGTGAGCGAAAAGAACTGCTCATAGTCCGCGAAGCAGGAGTCCAGGACTCCCTTCTCCACATCCGAATCCTCGAGCTCAGCGTAAGCCTCCTCCACTGCAGCCCTTCGAGCATCCACCTGCCCGAACCGCTTCATCAAGTTATGGACCCTATCCGGTCGACCTATCAAAGCATGGGCGCTTGTGGCCCAGCGTAACTCAGTCCGCAGGCAACGGATTAGTAGCTTGGGCGATGACATCACTACTAAATACAAATTACGACGCGGCTCGAGCACAAATTACAGAGATAACAAATAAAAAATACAACAAAAAATTAAAAGTTAATAAATGCAGTTCCTATCAAATCGCGTTGAATAGAAATTACACAAATACGAATTACTACATATCAACCAAGTTAAAGTTAGCACAAAAGAAAAGACACAAATCAAATTAACAAATAACAAATAGTAGTGCGATCAAGTCAAGTTAAATTCAAATTAAGCAAATACAATTACTACTCTTTAGTTCAAATACAAATTACAATACAAATAAGATACACATCACGGTCGGTCAACAAAAAATGCCTAGCTCGGAAATCGACCCTTCGATAAGTAATCCACTACAACTATCCGACAACGATAATTAACCGATTACGTAAAAATAACCATCTACCTACATGACGTATATCTCTAGAAAAACTCCCGCTTGCGCAACCTAGGGCGCGGCTTTTCAAACTACCCACTTACCAAAAAAAAAAGCAAGCAACAAAGCAACAAAGGAAAATAATTTTATTATTACAGACAAAAAAATATTTTACGTATTACGGACGGGCGTGATTGTAAATACAAATTAAACCAATCAAACCAACGCTCCCTGCCACCAGAATTGTTTAATTTTTATCAAACACTATGGTCGGGATCGACCGGGGAATCGAACCCGGAACCACGCTCTGCTACCAGTTTGTTACGGCCTACGGCTGCTCCCTTAAAGGTCAAATCCTCAGGGGCCCATTCTACTGAGTTTCGACGAGCAGACGTAGGTCGGGCCTCAATGTGGCCACGTGGAATTTCTCTAATTACACTAAACTATATGGGGGAGCGTTCGATACTACGGCCAGTCGACTGGGAGGATGTTAGACGGAGCTTACTTACCTATATCCGAGGCGACTGGTCCCTCCGGAGTCGGTCAGGTCGCATGTGGTTGTGTAGTGCAAGGGAAATAAGGTGATGTGATGTGTATCTGGGTGTGACTGAGGGTGATTGTCCCGAGTAATCCTTGGCCGTCGGCAGCAGCCCGGGCGTCGACACCGCTCCAAATTGAGGGAACCTTCCGCGGCGTTGTCCACAATCACTTTCCTCGTTCGTCACGATGACAGTCCATTAACTCTATCGTACTAACTAACTTACAGAAGCCACTAACTCTCGCTTGTTATAAGGTTAACGCACAAAACGAACACGGAGGTCAAAGGTCACTACCGTTTCGCGTAGCAACAGTTATCTCTAGAATATCAAAGGTCGCACTAGCTAATATTGTCGAAGGCACTTATATAGATTCTGAGTCAGACACAATGAGTCCCTGGGAAGCTCTCCAGTAGGAATGCGCGCCACAAATCCTAGACCGTATACAGGGTATTTTTGGAACGCTCCCGAAAACTAAGACAGGCGACAACACCAAGTACACCTTTGATCATGGGTCACAAATAAATTCGATCCTGATGAAAAAAAAATCATCTTTTTACAACGTTTTATTAGCTTTATTCACGCGCCATCATGTTAGTACAGCTAAATGAAACGATAATTTCATAAAATATATCATGAAAATACTTAAACATAAAACGAGCAGTGGAACGACTGAATTTATATCACCTGACTGAAAGGTCAATGTACGCGCGAACGCAAATTCGCGCTGCCCGCAACTAGCGGGCCATACCACAATATCTAATAATTTACAACACTTGTCTAAATACCTAACTTATCTACTTAACCTACTATTTTGCCACTGTGCTTGTCTCCACTTAGCCACTTTAATCCGAATTTACAGGTTAAATAACCCAAATAACTGGTTCGATTCCCCGCTAATGAAAAAATACTTAAATGAAATGTAACCAAGGTTGGAGTCATGAGTTTTTATTCATCGTGTAGGTATGTTTATTATTCTCATGTATTCAGTTATGTACCTATTCAGATTAGTCTAGTACTAAGTTATTTAAAAAAAATAGGTATGAAACAGCTTACCGCTCTAAATCCTCCGTGGTCTTATGAGATGCGGCTCAAATTGTGCTCCATTCATTTCAAGGTAGATTTGGGTGCAGGCGGGGCATCATCGTGTGGTCTTCGACACAGTCCGTACGTAGTTTCTCGAAAGCATCCACGATCCTTTGGCGCATTTCTTCAGCACTATCACATTCACGATTAAAAACCCTTTCTTTCACATACCCCACAAAAAGAAGTCTAACGGAGTCAGATCTGGTGAGCGAGGTGGCCAAGCGTGTGGTCCTAGTCTGCCGATCCAGCGATCATCAAATAGCTCATTGAGGCGCTCACGGACGAACCTCACGAAATGTGGAGGGGCACCATCATGTTGGAACCATGTGCGGCGATATTCAGCCAACGATAGGTCGTTTAAAATGTCAACCAACTGTTCATTTATAAAGTTTAGGTATCGCTGTCCGTCATCGCTCTGTCAGAAACACTGGTCCCAGTATGCGATCCTTAAATAAACCTGCCCATACGTTAACCGACCATCGGGTTTGGTGCCCGGTTTGTCGAACAGCGTGCGGGTTAACCTCTGAATACACGTGTGTATTTCTTCGGTTCCACAGGCCGTTTCTGGTAAATGTCGACTCATCCGTCCAGATAATGTGCTCAATGGAACCAGGCACACGTTGTTGCTGGTATAATAACCAACGGCAGAAAACTCGTCGGCGGTCGTGATCGCCGGGAACTAAAGCTTGCACTTTGTGCAATTTGTATGGGCGCATTCGGTTACGCTTCAACACTTTGTGCACTGCACAGTATGACACACTTGTTCCATCCCGACGTCTTAACAATTTATTTAGCGATACTTCGTGTACCTAGGTTCGGATACCTAACATGTTGCCGTATTCATAATCACTATAAACGTACGTGTTAAGCATTATTAAAACAAAAAACGTAACAACAAGAATAATACCAACAGGTAATCACAAGTATTAACAATTTAATAAAGAAAACGATTGAACTGTCGCTCGCGCACGCGTGTACAAAATCAACACGGAACTGTTTCAAAAACTACAATTAATAACGAACCCCGACGAATAAACTGAAACCTACTGCGTCACAGCGTGAGGCGACACGAGCCGGCCGGATTACATTCTGCCGTCATAATAAAGAAGGACGCAACTAACAAAAACGTAAAATGGAAATAAAAAATAAATTTATGAATTTTTCTTTCAGACCCCGTGTCTAAAGTATATTAAAAGGTATCTATATGAAAATTGAAATATGTACGTAGAGACATGAAGATTTTAAGGACGAACTTATTTTTTTGATAATTTGTTTATTTATTTAAATAAAACGAATTTTCCTTTTCATCTTAGATTAAAAAATACACCTGGCAACACAAAAACATCGAAGGAAAGACGCATATAACTATTTGCGTCTTCCCAACCTAATAAATAAAAAAAACTGCCATTCATTTAACATTTTTACATATTTTGGAAAGGTCATTTGAAGTTGAAAGGACGCTAATAGTAATTTACTACTTTTTTCTTAGTAAATATTAGAAAAGCATTGGTAGTCAGACACAAAAAATAACAACCCGCAACTCTTGAGTAATGATTTTAAAGGGGATATCATACAAGACTTACTACGATAATAATTAAAAATTAAAAATATTGTACAACCGACTTTAATATAAATAATTAAGGATGACTCAAAAACTATTGGTCTGACCTCGATCAAATTTATATGGGACCACATGTGAAACACCAGCTCTTAGTAATAAGATATAAGCTCTTAATAATAAGATATAGAATAAAAAGACAAGAATAATTGAAATTTAAGTAATCGATGCAAATATTGTTAAAGATGACGTAGCCACTGGTTAAATAAGTCTTTCCTTTTATGTTGAATTTGTATAAGTCTTTTCTAATAAAAAGATGTCATCTGTGATCAACAGTTACGTCTAAAATTCTTACGATAATTTCTAAAATATTGATATTTGTGAATATTAAAAAAATTTAGTAGATGCGCCTTCTTATCATGAGTCCATGGTATATTTAAATCATTTATTCAAAAATTGTTAGATGCGCCCTTTTTTCTTATGACCGCAGCATTGTTTCGTACCGAGCTAGATACAGGTCGACAGCGGAGAGAGTGTGGGTACAGTCGCGTTCTAAAGTACTACATGGTATTGGGCTATTGTTTTATAATATTATAGTAATTAATTGTTTAATTGTAGAATCATAATAGGTGTTTTACTATTTACTTAGAACTTTGGAAGAGGTGGGAATTAAAAATGGATAATGTTTACTTGAGCATTATTTGTTATTTCTATCGTAAAATATAAAGTAGTTTGTAACAAAAAAAAACTTAAGCTAAGGGTGACACGCCGTCCATTATGACGTCTTGGGTCACATGAAAGTCAGATGTTGATGGTGTGTTGGTGTTACTGGATGCTACTTCATCATCACTTTCATCTTCGCTTGAGCTTCCGTCATCAGGTCGATCACATGGTAATTTTTTCGGTATTCTCCCTCAACACTTTACTGCACAATTTTCCCCATTCACCTTCTCCTATCATATTTACCTTTTCGTTCACTAGTTTAGTCATAAAACAATAGATATAAATAATTTTTGTTTCCTTCCTTTTTAAAACATCGTCGCGAGTCGCAAAGTAAGCTGTGTATGCGACTGTATTTTTGGAGCGAACAAAGCGCGGGAACCAATAGCATGCAGGCACAGTAATACTGGCGGATTGTTCCCCCGTCGCGCCCCTTCGTACCTATATGTGATAAATCGCTCAGTGCCCAAGTTCAAGGCCAGCGTTCTTTTTTCACCGTTCGCGCGTACATTAACCTCCATTAGTCAGGTGATATCAATTCAGTTTCCACTGCTGGTTTTATGTTTCAGTATTTTCATGATTTTTTTTTATGAAATTATCGATTCATTTAGCTGTACTAACATGATGGTGCGTGAATAAAGCTAATAAAACGTTGTAAAAATATGATTTTTTTTTTCATCAGGATCAAATTTATTTGTGACCCATGATCAAAGGTATACTTGGTGCTGTCGCCTGTCTTAGTTTTCGGGAGCGTTCCAAAAATACCCTGTATTTACTGTCCGCGCCTAATTATTCCGAGTTCTCGACAAAAAATGACAGTGTGCTAACGTTAGCACCGCTGACAGACGACTCCACTTCACCTTTACGCGTTCTCAACCCCACCGCTCGAGCGACGTCAAAACCGGTATGGCACCGAGCGTCGCGCCCCCTAGACGTCGATTCCGACAACAGCATTTGGCGCGAACAATAATTATACGTTTGCATCCATTGGATTCAATGGTCGATTGTTTGTACCGACGTTATGTGGCGCGCAGCATGGCGGTGCCCAGCGCCAGGTACCAGCGCTCCAGGCAGTATACACAGGAGGGGGAGGGGGAGGGTGTGGGGGGAGTGTGCACGCACCCATGTGCACGACGGCGCGCGGGGTGCGCGGGTGCTCGGCGCGCTGGATGGCGCGCAGCATGGCGGTGCCCAGCGCCAGGTACCAGCGCTCGAGATCGGCGCGCCGGCCACCACGCGCGAAGATCGCCTCGCACTCCGCCGCCATCTGTTCCAGCTCCGGTACAAACGACAGCACACCGCACTTGGGTCGCCGTGCCGCCTGCAAGCACACACGCACCACCCTAATAACACTCGTACCATAATAAAGCGTATTACACACGCTAAAGCCACTATTTAAATTTTAATAAAGTTTTGTGTTAAGTTGCAAGATGGCATTATTAACTACATGTTAAAATAAAGTTTGGTTTTTATCAATAGATGTCGCTGTATAAATTATGTTCAATGCCCAGAACTCTCCCAACACCGTAATCCTGTGATCCCGTGATTAATAAATAAAACTTCTTGACGTATGGCGTGTAACAATTATCTGTATTTTGAAAATTGTAAGCTATGTGAAAAAGTATTAAATGTAAGAAAAAGAACAAACCAGAAATTATTATTTAACAAAACCTTACTCACAATAACAGACGAAATTAATAAATTATACATAAAATAAATCTACAATTTTATTTTACATATTTCCTTCAAACTATCTTCATGTCTTTAACACCCCGCCCACCAAGGACAACTGTCCTTAATCCTTTTAGTTTGAAGTGTAAAGCATGGTAAATAACAACATTCTATTAATTAAAATAATAAAAACGATCATTTCACACTGAGTAATAATGTGTAAAATACAACAAATGAAGATAAAAATATTGTTACGAGCTTGGGGTTCGAGACAATTAAAAACTGTTACCAAAATTGACACTTTAATTACAGAACACTAATTACAATCTAAAACCACACTAATAATAAAACACAATTGTACTACTGATCCATTTAGTTCGCAGTTATTTCGCTTCGAAGTATTCTCCTGTATCGCCAATTCAATACTGACTCGATCACGGTCTATACCGGCCTTATATAGGGCCTCAGGTAGTTTCCAGAACCTTCTACTATAGAAACATCTAGAATGTTCGAGTACATATCGGTCCCGATATTTCTAGAAGGATCTTGACTCTCCTAGTTCTGCTAATAGATACTAGAGGGCGCTAGTGGTAACTGGTGTTGCCATGTACAAGACATTAATAGTAACACACAACAATATTAACTGAATAAAATATCACTTATCTTCACAAATTGGTAATAAAATTAATTTTGACACAGGCCGTTTTATGACCGCTTTTTTAAAACGTAAGCTTCACGCGTAACTCTGTCCACACCTGGATGTTTTCCCACAATACGCCGTAATAACCACCTGACTGGTTCAGGATTTGAATGCGCCCATTTGTACCTGTGCATAAAATGGGTCAAGTATTCTTGAGACCACTGTTTTCAAAAATCCTGTATCATGCGCTGGAATAGGTGCCATCGTCGTAACAGATTAATGGAAGTATCATATTGGTGATCTGGTGCCGGAATTAATGGCTCGCCTACAAGAAAATTACTTGGAGTTAAAGCAAAATATTCACCTTTATCGTCTATTATACTCGTAGATGTCATGGGCCGAGAATTTAGGCAAGCCTCAATTTGCGTTAAGACTGTTGACATCTCCTCATAAGTTAATGTAGAGTTTCCAATCACTCTTTTTAAATGAAATTTGGTTGATTTTATGCCAGCTTCCCATATACCTCCGAAATTAGGAGCTTGTGGTGGGTTAAATGCCACTTTGTATCGTGTGATTCCAACCATTCTCCAATTTTACTGTTTCTTGACTTTTCTTCATTAAAAAGTTGCTTGAGTTCCCGAGCTGCACCAACGAAATTAGTGCCATTGTCACTAAATAATTCCATGCAGTTACCTCGTCGTGCAGTGAATCGCCTAGGTGCTGCTAGAAAACTTTCAGAGCTCATGTCGCTTACCTCTATATGAATTGCTTTGGCCTTTTTACACCCTTATGTTGATCGGCCCCGCATAATGGACACCACTACATGAGAAGGCCCTGCTTGGCCTTACTCTTAAAGGATACCTCCTTCAAGAGTAAGGCTAAGCCACTGGCCAAACCAAACCAAAAACCAAACCAAACGTTTGGTTTTGAGCGGAAAAACATATACAAGTAACGCATTTTTGAAAATGATATTTTACAAGCGATTTATCTCTAAGTATCCAACATTTAGATTTCAGGTAATTGATCATTACTTGTGGTCCACCGTGTAATGTTCTAATATGAGCCTCACGGACGAGCAATCCAGCTAAATAACAATCATGAGGAATCAATGTTGGATGTTTTGTATCTATCTCGACTGGAGCATGATAAATCCGTCCACAAATGCGAAGTATGCCTTCGTCGTCTAAGATTGGATTAAATGAGATAAGTTTACTTTTCTTTTGTATAAAATAACCTTTTCTTAATGTTTCTATTTTCTCATTAAATTCTTTTATTTGTGCTTTCTTTATCATTATATGTAAAGCTTCTTTTATTTCTTCTGTTTTCAAATATTCACTAATATCCTTTTTCTTTTTCAGGAATCTTCGACAATAGGCAACCAGTCTTAGCAGTTTTATCAAAGAAGAAAATTTATACCACATGGCATCCTGATCATCGACAGTATTTACTGCTGCACTGTGTATTTTTACAATCCTTTCTTCTATGTTTGTATTCACAAATTTAGAAAAAGGATAATTAATTTTCTTATTACGTAACCAGGATGGACCTTCTAACCAAAGTCGATAATAAGCGATTTCAGATGGAGCAATGCCACGAGATGCGCAATCAACTAAACTGTCTTCCGACTGCACATGAAACCAGTGAGTACGATCTAAATATTGTAATATTTCCGCCACTCTGTTACCGATATATGTTTTCCACCTACTTGGATGGGAGCTTAACCACGCCAATAATATTTCTGAATCAGTCCATGCCTTCAAGTGATTTTAGAAATTCCCAGAACAGTTAGTCTTAACAGTGGTAGAGCCATGCGGCAGCTTTTGCTGTCGCACGGATGGGCCGGCTCGAAGCGGTGGTACCACGACCTCACAGAAAACCAGCGTGAAGTAGAGGTTTACCTCTGTGTTTCGCTTGGTGAGTGCAGGTGGCCGGAGGCCCTTTTTACTGGAAATGAGGCATTCCATCTTAGTCCTCACGGGTGACAACGCATCTACATTTTAATTCTTTATCGAGGATAGATGTAGATGTCTATGGGCCGCAGCAACCACTTACCATCAGGTGGACTGTGTGCTCGTTTGTCACCCTTATCCTATAAAAAAAAAACTTCAGAAACTTCTATAAGTAATTTAGTTAGTAAAAGAGCTCCACATAGTTCAAGTCTAGGTATGGATAATTGACTGTTAGGAGCTACCTTAGACTTGCCAGTTACCAGATTTACATTGTCCATCACCATCAATAACTCGCATGTAGACAACTGCACTATAACAACAAAATCCATGTAGCTCAACAAGCTCATTGTTGTTTTCACATTTCATCCAACGAGGTAACCTGAACTCGGTAAGTTTGGATAATTCATCTCTATATACTGGGTGGCGCCCAGGTTATCACGTTAAATAGCACAACAGTTAATACAAGTTGATATATGTCTGTTAAAATAATAAAATAAACAATAATAAAAACTAATAAAAAATGCATCTTTCAAACAAAATAAATAGGGTAAAAAATCACATAAAAGAAATCATCCTTGATAATATTACTTAACTGACCTGAAATGACTTGTAGAAGCGGCAACGTCGCGGCCAGCGGTTAATTGCTCATGCGACATCGATATAGGTAATTATATTATAATACCTAGGTCCTAGGACTTGCCCATACATAGGTAATTAGGCACGCGTAGGGCGATGCTAATCCGATGTTATCAACAAATCACAAATTTCATGGTATTTTTTTATCCAAATAATCACTTTAACCTTGAAATCACTCAAGTTTATGAAACAAATCAAATTTTTAAATTTTCAAAATGTCCGCCGTGTACCCGAATGCATAATTGACACTGTCCTGATTTAATGAAGCATAGTAAAGTAATACCTTTATTTAAATCTGGTAGTACATTGGACCCCGCTAATTATAGACCTATTTCTGTACTACCAACTCTCAGTAAAATTTTTGAAAAAATAATTTTGGATCAATTGTTAATTTTTTTTAATACAAATAAATTACTTCATAAAAATCAATTTGGTTTTACAAGGGGTCGCTCGACGTCTGACGCCGGTGTTGAGCTTATGAAATATATTTTTAATGCCTGGGAGAATTCACAAGATGCCTTAGGTATTTTCTGTGACCTTTCCAAGGCTTTCGATTGTGTTCATCATGATACATTAATCAGGAAACTACAACATTACGGTGTAAAAAATTTGGCGCTTAAACTTATTACTTCATATTTAAGTAACAGAACTCAAAAAGTCGTCATTAATGGTAAATGTTCCTCCGGATCGGTAGTATCAATGGGCGTTCCTCAGGGCTCGATTCTTGGCCCATTCCTGTTCTTAATCTATATTAATGACTTACCTTATCTTGTAGGGGACAATCACGATATAGTATTATTTGCTGACGATACCTCTTTAATTTTCAAACTGAAACGGCAGTCAATTAAATATGACGATGTAAATAATGCTCTGTCAAAACTAGTACATTGGTTTAACGCCAACAATTCGCTCTTAAACGGCAATAAGACAAAATGTATTAAATTTACAATACCTAATGTAAAACATTCGAAAACCAATGTGCTCTTAAATGGGGAGGAGTTGAGTCTTGTGGATACCACTGTTTTTCTCGGTATTACTATTGACGCGAAACTTCAATGGGGCCCCCATATATCTAAATTAGCAAGCAGACTTAGTTCTGCAGCATATGCTGTAAGAAAGATTAGAAGTCTCACAGATGTTGAGACAGCTAGGTTAGTGTATTTTAGTTACTTTCATAGCGTAATGTCTTATGGAATTTTGCTATGGGGTAATGCGACTGATATTGAAGCTATATTTGTTTTGCAAAAGAGAGCCGTACGGGCGATTTATAATCTAAATTGTAAAGAGTCCCTTAGAGAAAAATTTAAAGAAATAAACATATTAACTTTGGCATCGCAATATATTTATGAAAATGTAATGTATGTACATAAAAACATAAATAGCTTTAATAAGAATAAGGATGTTCATACCTTAAACACTAGGAAC